ACTTCTTCGGATGCATCCGAAGAAGTGGGTTGTAGCCCACGAAAGCTTATGCTCTAATAAATTTGTTAGTCTCTAAGGTGCCACAAGTACTCCTGTTCTTTTAGTGAAGTAGAGGCACTTTTAGAAATGTGCTTCTAAATTACAATAACAAAAGCTCTAAATAACTCCTTAAGATCACCTCCTTCATCTGGGAACTAGACATTAAATGTATTTTTTAATAGGGGATGTCATAACTATAAAGGGAAGGGTAACAACTCTCCTGTGTACAATACTATAAAATTCCTCCTGGCCGGAGGCACCAAAATCCTTTTACCTGTAAAGGGTTAAGGAGCTCAGGTAACCTGGCTGACACCTGACCCAAAGGACCAATAAGGGGACAAGATACTTTCAAATCTTGGGGGGGAAGGCTTTTGTTTGTTTTGTTTTGGTGTTGTTCACTCTTGGGACTAAGAGGGACCGGATATCAACCCATGTTCTCCAAATCTTTCTGAACAAGTCTTTCATATTTCAACTTGTAAGTAACAGCCAGGCAAGGCATGTTAGTTTCTCTTTGTTTTTTCAACTTGTGAATGTTCCTTTGCTAGAGGGTTTATCTCTGTTTGCTGTAACTTTGAACCTAAGGCTAGAGGGGGTTCCTCTGGGCTCTTTAAATCTGATTACCCTGTAAAGTTATTGTCCATCTTGAATGTACAGAGATGATATTTACCTTTTCTTTTTAATAAATCCTTTTTTTAAGAACCTGACTGATTTTTTCCATTGTCCAAAGACCCAGGGGTTGGGTCTTTGATCACTTTGTAACCAATTGGTTAGGATATTATTCTAAAGCCCTCCCAGGAAAAGGGGTGTAGGGGCTTGGGAGATATTTGGGGAAAGGCAGAGCTCCAAGTGGCTCTCCCTAAATGTTTGTTTAACTCACTTGGTGGTGGCAGCATACCTTTTAACCTAAGCTGGTAGAAATAAGCTTGGGGGTCTTCGTTGCGGGTCCCCACATCTGTACCCTAAAGTTCAGAGAGGGGATGGAACCCTGACAGGGGAGCTTGCTAATGTATTCACTCCATTGCATGCAGCTGATACTGCAGTGTCTCTAGGAATGGTGAGAAACAAATTTGTAACTAGCATGGTGGTTGCTAAACTTTACTGGTGAATCAAACTAGTTGTCAGTACATGCCATTCACCCACTATCTGTATATAGGTTGTCTATTTAGATAGTAAGCTCTTAGAGCATGGGACCTTCACTTCCTATGTCTGTAAAATACCTGGATAAATGATGATAACCTACATCCTAAATGTAGAAACTGTAGAAGTTGGAAATGGGAAAAGTAATACTAGGTCATCTAGTTCTTCTCCTTGAAATGGAGAATGGAAATGCTGTTAGAAGATAAAGGTGATAATAATTAATAGAAAAAGTAATATAGTTTAGCTCTTATACAGTCCTTTTCATCCTTACATCTTAAAAATGTAAAGATGTAAAAATGTAAAAATGCTGCAAAAAGTTTGTTAAATATTATTACTTTGTGAGCTGCTAGACTTCCTTTCCCTATTCCTTGCATGTACATTAATCATGAAGCAATACAGTGTCTCATTCTTACATGTTAGCTCCACGAACCTGAGGAACTTCTGTTCTTCCTCCTCTCATAAAGCTGGGTGTCACTTGATCTGAGAGTGTGCTGCAGACTTTGACCAATCCCATAGCAGGTAGCGTCTGTGCTTGTTTGCATTTATTTCCTGCTGTAGTCTCTGAGATTCAGTTCAGTCTTTTCACAGGGGAAGACTAGCTGCTAGAAAAGCGGAAATCTTTTTGAAGAAATGAACAGCTGAAATGAAAACCAAATGATTTCATAAGAGTAAGTAAAACTAAAATAATCCCTTCCCCCTTGAGAACAAAAGTATAGTGTAACTAAATCAAAGACCTGGAATTATTTGAATATATACGTCTTTTAAAAGCAATCTGTGAGTTGGATTCTCAATTATTTAGACTGTTTCTAGATGTGGATGCTTTTGCTTGCATGTTCCAGAGACAATTTATTCTTAAGTGGCAGTTCACTTAGTTTATGTAAACATATTTTCCCCAATCACTGCAGTATTAGTTTGTTCCTAAGAGGAATGGTGAACTCACTTTCATTGTTTCATCAGGAATTTCACAGGTCGAAGCATACAATATATACTTCCAACATAAACTACCCCACACCAGTGAATTGCCACACCCTCTTTTTTGGCCTATTGAATTTAGACGGCAACGAGCTAAAATTATAATACTCTGTATTATATTTTGGTAAGTTTGTATTATTTATTATGTTTTTGGAAATGTATCATGCATATTACAGATGTTAAATCAGATATTAAAATATTAATGAAACTGTCCATTATGTCTATGCAATTGTATACTACCTAGTCACTGGGTTTAATATTTATTATTTTTATTATGGTAACATCCACAAATTGTTTGGCACTGTCCACACCTAGCCTGTCTACTGTCAGACTAGAAATAAGACATTTTTTATCAGTGCGGGTAACTAACCATTGGAACAACTTATCTAGTGGTGTGATGGATTCTCCATTGCTTTCCAGTCTTTAAGCAAGACTGGATCTCTTTCTAAAAGACATGCTTCCTGCCCCCTCCCCTGAGCCTGCCATGCCCTCGCCCCACTCCCCCCCTCTCCAGCCTCCTGGACATCACGAAACAGCTGATCAGGAGGTGCAGGGAGAGGGGGGAGGCGCTGATCGGTGGGGCTGCTGGTGGGTGGGAGGCACTGGGAGCGGAGCTGGTGGGGGAACTGCTGACTATTACTGTGGCTCTTTGGCAATGTACATTGGTAAATTCTGGCTCCTTATCAAGCTCAGGTTGGCCACCCCTGCTCTAGCTCAAACAGAGCATATGGGCTCAGTGCAGAAATTACTGGGTTGGATTCTATGGTCTGTGTTATATAGGAGGGCAGACTAGATTATAATGTCCCTTCTGGCCTTAAAATCTACAGGAAGACATAATCTCTGCCTCAAAGTTCCTACAACGGAGGAGGGCCCTGATTCTGCCATGTGTTGCTCATGGGCTGACAAACTCCTGCACCTGTGGAAAGTACCCCTGACTTCAGTGGGACTCTGTACTGCTAGACCCTTATGCAGGAATGCAGGATCGTGGTCTAAGAAGACAAGCAACAGAGGAAGGGGGGAAGAGAGAAAACATATCCTCAATATTTGTAGTTATTTTTAGAATCAAAATTTCATTGCATTATTTATAGCAGCTGAATCTCAGTTTCCATCACAAGCCTGACTTTCACAGGCTTGAGAGAGAGCTGCATCAAGTCCTCCTTGGCAGTAGGGAGAGTCATTGCCACACAAGGGGTAGATCCTTAGCTCATGTAAATTGTCATAGCTCTGTTAACTTCAATGGAACTCTGACAATTTCCCCCAGCTGAGGAGCTGCCCCTCGGAGTTTTAGCCACGTGTCAGGGAGGAACACTGAGTGGTGATGTTACAGCATCATCCTAAAGATCTTGAATGTAAATTGCACAGTCATATTTCATTAGTTAACCTAGCTAATAAGGTTCATTTGGAGACTGGCCTCAAGTTCAGAGGCTGTACTCCAACTCTGTGGGGTGACTTGTGTGTGGAAAAAAACTAGCCCAAGAAACCCCTATGAATCATACAATATAAGGGTTGGAAGGGACCTCAGGAGGTCATCTAGTCCAACCCCTGCTCAAAGCAGGACAAGCCCCAGACAGATTTTTGCCCCAAATCCCTAAATAGCCCCCTCAAGGATTAAACTCACAACCCTGGGTTTAGCAGGCCAATGCTCAAACCACTGAGCTATCCCTCCCCCCCATATGAAAAGTGGTGTGGAGTCCAAAACAAAGATTTTCAAAAATGGGTGCCTAAAGTTAGGCCCCATAATCATTATTTCGGTACCTACATAAGTGGCCTGATAGTCAGAAGTGCTGCACACCTAGGAGCTTCCACTGGCTGTATAGAAAGGGAAAGAGAGACTATCCAATTTCTTGCAAATGTTTAGCATTTAAAAATATTATTTTAAGCTTACATAGCAACTCTGTTCAATATACAGTACACACAGCACCACTGAAATGCAGGTATGCTGGGAGAAGAGGGGACCAGCTGACTGATGTACAGAACAATAGTGAAGGGGAAAGAAATGTGACTAAGGATAGTGAAGTGGGAGCTTTAATTAGCATATCAAGCCTGTGCCCTTGCCTGAAAGGCCACACACAGTAAGTTGCATGGTGCTTAGATTATTTACCTCAGAAGGAAAGACTGAGGTGACCCTGCTGGGTTATGAACATGTGGTTCCAAGGAGGATAACGATGCCAAACTTAAACTTTAGAGACCATTAAGACACCTCCTCCAGCTTAGTAGTAAATTGGCTCCTTTTCCAGAGTATATGGGTCTCAGCCAAAGCTCACTGAAGTTAATGAGAGCCTCTCCACTGACTTCAGTGTGCTTGACATCAGGCCCTAGGACTGCAGCTCATCAGGCAGACCAAATGTAAGTTATACAATAGGAGCACGGATCACTCAAACTATTTATAATGTACAAAATACTATAACTCTTTTCAGAACATCCTGTGAGAACACACTGTTGCAACTAATGGAAGCCACTTCGAAAAGGTCCATTCATCTGTGCCATGAAAATGGTGATTGGATGTCACAGCTGCCAGAAAATCTCTGGGATGTTCCTCTCCATTACTTATCCCTTCCAGGTAGATATTAACTTTCTCCTCTAGATACTGATCTTGTTGTCAAAACATTTAAGCATCAGATCCTTGGAGTATCAACAGAGTGGTCAGCGCTTGTGTGATAGAAGAAAATACCATTTATTTTCCAAGGAGCTAATAGTCTAAATAGATTGAGTGGGAGTAACTGAAGGTGTTATCTGTTGGATCAGATGTAAACCAAGATCCTGATCACTTATGATTATCAATGATTGCACAACTCTTTTTATAAGAGTCACCAAGGTAGTCCTGCTGTGCTGGTGAATTACGGTGGGAGGGATTACTCTCTGGGACAGATTTATTAGTCTGATTACGTAAGAATGGCCATACTGGGTCAGACCAATGGTCCATTTAGCCCAGTATCGTGTCTTCTGATAGTGGCCAATGGCAGAGGCTTCAAAAGGAATAAACAGAACAGGCAATCATCAAGTGATCCATCCCCGGTTGTCCAGGCCCAGCCTCTGGCAGTCAGAGGTGTAGGGACACCCAGGGCATGGGATTGCATCCCTGACAGTCCTGACTAATAGCTACTGATGGACCTATCCTCCATGAATTTATCTAATTCTTTTTTGAACCCAGTTATACTTTTCACAACATCCCCTGGCAATGAGTTCCACAGGTTGACTCTATGTTGTGTGAAGAAGTACTTCCTTTAGTTTGTTTTACACCTGCTGCCTATTAATTTCATTGGGTGACCCCTGGTTCTTGTATTATGTGAAGGAGTAAATGATACTTCCTTATTCACTTTCTCCATACCATTCATGATTTTATAGATCTCTATCATATCCCCTCTTAGTCGCCTCTTTTCCAAGCTGAATAGTCCCAGTCTTTTTAATCTCTCCTCATATGGAAGCTGTTCCAGATCCCTAATCATTTTTGTTGCCCTTTTCTGTATCTTTTCCAATTCTAATCTCTTTTTTGAGATGGGAAGACCAGAACTGCACACAGTATTCAAGGTGTGGGTGTATGATGGATTTATACAGTAGCATTATGATATTTTCTGTCTTATTATCTATCCCTTTCTTAAGCTTTTTTTTACTGCCACTGCACATTGAGGGGATGTTTTCAGAGAACTATTCACGATAACTCCAAGACCTTTTTTGAGTGGGAACAATTAATTTAGATCCCATCATTTTGTATGTATAGTTGGGATTATGTTTTCCAGTATACATTACTTTGCATTTATCAACATTTAATTTCATCTGCTATTTTATTGCCCAGTCACCCAGTTTTGTGAGATCCCTTTGATCTTTGCAGTCTGCTTTGGACTTAACTATCTTGAGTAGTTTGTATCATCTACAACTTGCCACCTCATCCCTTTTTCCAGATAATTTATGAATTTGTTGAGCAGCACTTGTGCCAGTACAGATCCACAAAGGGCAGGACAAGAGGCAAGGGGTTCAAACTACAGCATAGCAGATTTAGATTAAATCTCAGGAAAAACTTCCTAACTGTAAGAACAGTAGGACAATGGAACAGACTGCCTAGGGAGGTTGTGGAAGCTCCTTCACAGGAGGTTTTCAAAAGGAGACTGGATGGTCATCTGTCTTGGACACAACAAATCCTGCATCTTGGCGGCGGTTAGACAAGATGACCATTGCAGTCCCTTCTAACCCTATGGTTCTATGATTCTAAGTCCAAATGCACTATATCCATTGGATCACCCTTGTCCACATGTTTGTTGACCCCCTCAAAGAATTCTAGTAGATTGGTGAAGCATGATTTCCCTTTACAAAAGCCGTGTTGACTCTTCCCCAATATATTGTGTTCATCTAAGTGTCTGATAATTCTTTTTTATAGTTTCAACCAATTTGCCTTGTACTGAAGTTAGGCTTACTGGCCTGTAATTGCCGGGATCACCTCTGTAGACTTTTTTAAAAATTGGTGTCACATTAGCTATCCTCCAGTCATTTAAGTGATAGGTTACACACCATAGTTAGTAGTTCTGCAATTTCATATTTGAATTCCTTCAGAACTCTTGGGTGAATACCACCTGGTCCTGGTGACTTATTACTCTTTAATTTATTAGTTTGTTCCAGTAATAATAAGTAGCTATTATATAACACTTTTCAGTAGATTTCAAAGGAGGTCAGTATCATCCCTGTTTTACAGATGGAGAAACTGAGGCAGGTGAGATGACTTGCCCAAACTCACCCAGCAGGCCAGTGGCAGAGCTAGGAATAGAATCCAGCTTTCCTGAGTCCCAGTACAGTGCTCTATCCACTAGGCCACACTGCTTCCCTTATTAGGATGTATTTTATATCACTATATTGGTTTAGCCCGACAGGCAATAGTTTGAAAAAATATGCAGGAAGGCAAAAAAAGACTCAAGACAAGCTGCCTCTCAGCAAATACTGGCGGGCTGTTACGGGACAATGCCAGAGCTATTAGCTTTGAAGATTTTGTCTCCTCTCCAGCTAACCTGCAAAACTGGCTTGAGGCAAGACAGGAAAAGGCCTGTGAACACAGGAGCTCAAAAGAATTGTGGCAGGTTTAAAAAGAATGCTCTCTGTCTTTTGGGAAGAGGGAAGTTGTTTGGGAGAACCAGACTGAGTCACACAATACCCTGCTGGGGGTGTCTGAGCCACACAATACCCTTCCTAGGTTACCCTTGGGGATGGACAGCCATTAGGTAAGATAGACATGCTGTAGTCTGTTCGTTTTCAAATCCCTTTTCTTTAAATCTTTTGTTCCCACTGTTAAAATAAACAATACATTGGTTTTAAAAAAGCTGTCTGATCACTGCATGGCACTGGTCACAGATGCTCAAAGTTCATCTGAGCAGGTGACGAACCCACTCAGACTTTCTGGGAAAGCAACGCTGATATGCAGGGTGCTATACCCCAAAGCTCAGTAAGACTGGAAGAATGGTGGAATTCCACCCCAAGAGAGGTAAACGCATAAAGCCAGACTCCTGAAGGGCTGCTCTCACAGAGACCATTAAGGGGGGACAGGTTCAGCTAGCCCTGTAACCTTGACACATTCTCCCAGTATTGCCAATCCCCAGCATTTAGAAATCATGAATCAGGCCCCCAAATCATGAGATTTACAAAATAATAAAATTGGGATATTTTTATTAGCCTTTCGGTTTTTGAGCTTTAAGGGTCACGTTTTTCAAGTTTTTCGCCATGACCATGATGGCTAAACATTTTTTTTGTAAACAAAAGTTAAAATTCTCAAATAATCACGGAACTCCAGGAGCTGAAACTTTAAGAAATACATCAAATATCATGAGACTCATGATGAGAGTTGGCAATACAGTCCTTCTACATTTCATTTGGATATAGTATGCTTCACTGATGCCATTAACTGCACTCAGCAACATTACACAACAGTTTAAGAATTACAACTTTTTACCAGAGAGGTGGTTATACTTCATGGTAGGTGAAGAAATTTCAGTATATTTTGTATTGATGCTGGTTTGCCAGTGATGGTGTAAGAAGGTTAAGGGATGACTTGATTACAGTCCGTAAGTATCTACATGGGGAATAAATATTTAATAATGGGCTCTTCAATGGAGCAGAAAAAGGTATAATACAGTCCATTGGCTGGAAGTTGAAGCTAGACAAACTCAGACTGGAAATAAGGCATAAATTTTTAACTGTGAGAGTCATTCACCATTGGAAAAATTTACCCAGGGTGGTATTGGATTCTACATCACTGACAATTTTTAAATCAGGATAGGATGTTTTTCTAAAAGATCTGCTCTAGGAATTATTTTAGGGAAATTCAATGGCCTGTGTTAGACAGGGGATCAGACTAGATGATCACAATGGTCCCTTCTGGCCTTGAAATCTATGAACTTGTACTAACACCGCATGACTAAGTCCACACTAGGAGTTGCACTGATTTAACTATTTTGGTAATAGGGTTTGCCTTGACTAGCTACTTCAAGACAAAAATGACAGTGCCTTTTCTCCATTAGGATTGTACATTGAGATAGTGATCTCAAATTAGCTATCTTGGTGTAAAAACACATCTGTTTTGCAGTGAAGACATATGTCTTTTGCCAATACACACTTATGTTTTGGGGGTAGGTTGGGAATTAGAAGGCTAGGTGTGCATAAGTGATATTATTTTCTATTGTGTAATACAAAGGAAAATCGTATTTGAGGTACTAACAAATTATTGAAATAAACTTAACCTTTGTTTTTATTCTACAGGGAGCCATGACACTATGACTTACTGTTTGGATAAAAACTCTGATATAAGTATCAATGAATCAAAGCTGTTGCAGGTGATAGATAAATGTATGCCTTGGATCATACATCCTATTATTATGAAGTGGTCTATAACACAGGTAACCAATTATCTAACGTTCTCAAACCTGAATTGTCTTGTTTGAAGTTTGTTACATAGTATTGAATGTTCATACTTTTTTCAATTCAATTAAGGAATACATTGGTGCCTAGATATGTGAATAACATTTTTGGGCAAATTCTAAATACCATAGGTAGAGAAGTAAGACAAAAACATGGTGTATGTACCAAGTTTCTGTTTATGGGGAAGATATTTTTGGTGGGAGAGGCTGATATTTTAGGGATAGAGGATTCATAAATAAAGACAATAGTTAAAGGGACACTGTTAACTAAAAACCCCCACATACTGCTTTTTAATCTCAATTAGTTAAGAATGTAAGAATGACCATACTGTGTCAGAACAATGGCCCATCTAGCCCAGTATCCTATCTTCCAACAGTGGCCAATGCCAGGTGCTTCAGAAGGAATGAACAGAACAGGCAACCACCAAGTGATCCATCCCTGTAATCCAATCACAGCTTCTGGCAATCAGAGCATATGGTTGCATCCCTGACCATCTTGCCTAATAGCTATTGATAGACTTATCCTCCAGGAACTTATCTAGTTCTTTTTAGAACCACGTTTTAGTTTTGGCCTGCACAACATCCCCTAGCACTGAGGTCCACAGGTTCTGACAGTCTTGACTAATAGCCACTGATGGACCTATCCTCCATGAATTTATCTAATTCTTTTTTAAACCCAGTTATACTTTTCACAACATCCCCTGGCAATGAGTTCCACAGGTTGACTCTATGTTGTGTGAAGAAGTACTTCCTTTTGTTTGTTTTAAACCTGCTGCCTGTTAATTTCATCATGTAACTCCTGGTTCTTGCATTATGTGAAGGAGTAAATAACACTTCCTTATTCACTTTCTCCACACCAGTAATAATTTTATAGACTTATATCATATTCCCTCTTAGTTGTCTCTTTTCCAAGCTGAATAGTCCCAGTCTTTTCAATCTCTCCTCACATGGAAGCTGTTCCACACCCCTAACCATTTTTGTTGCCCTTCTCTGTACCTTTTCCAATTTTAATATATCTTTTTTGAGATGGGGCAACCGGAATGGCATGCAGTATTCAAGGTGTGGGCATACAAGGGATTTATATAGTGGCATTATGATATTTTCTGTCTTATTAGCTATCCCTTTTCTAATGGTTCCTAATATTCCGTTAGCTTTTTGACTGGGGCTGCACATTGGGCAGATGTTTTCAGAGAACTATCCACAATGACTCCGAGATCTCTTTCTCGAGAGGGAACAGCTAATTTATGCCCCATTATGTTGTATAGTTGGGATTATGTTTTCCAATGTATATTACTTTGCATTGATCAACATTGAATTTCATCTGCCATTTTATTGCCCAGTCACCGAGTTTTGTGAGATCCCTTTGTAACTCTTTGCAGTCCGCTCTGGACTTAACTATCTTGAATAATTTTGTACCGTCTTCAAATTTTGCCACCTGGGACGGTTTGTTTACCTGCAGCGTCCGCAGGTTCGGCCGATTTCAGCTCCCACTCACCGCGGTTTGCTGTTCCAGGCCAATGGGGGCTGCGGGAAGCCGTGGCCAGCAGATCCCTCAGCCCATGCCAATCCCTGATCTAGATCAAAAGATATGTGTTTTTTTAGGCCTTTCGCCCCAGAAAGCCACATTCACCAACTGTCCTAGCAGAGTGATTAGAACAAGGCTATGGGAAAGAGTAGATGAGGCCTCCGTTTGTAGGAATTCACAAACTGATTCAGCCTTCTTAAAGACTTTAATATTATAAATAAATACATAAAATAAAAATCCAGTATCCATGGGATTATTATTTCTGTTGAGGGAACACGATCAGGGAGCTCCCTAAAGAAAATCTCTGTAAAGTCTTTGATCTGAGGAAAATGAATGCAGACATTTTAAGTTGCTGATCCTGCAACCTTTTCTCATACAAGCAGTCCAGATGACTTCAATAGGCGTATTATTGAACTCAGAACTCAGTATGAATCAGAACTGCTCATGTGTAGGGATTGAACTTGGGTTGGCTCCTAAACTTTTATTATGTAGACAATTTAAAGTCCTTTTTAAAAGATCTTAAACTAAGCTGTGTTTAGTGTCCACTTCATAAGGAAATAAAAACCCTTCATGTCAGATGTTTCTGTCATTTCAGAGCAAACTGTCAGCACCACACACAAACCTTTCAGCATCATTTTAGAGGTGAAATATGTAATAGATTTGGTAATCCTAAAAATATGATAAATAAGACTGGACAATTTTATAAGCTTCTTTAGATTTCTTAAAATAAAGGAACACATGTCCCTTGCAAAAATTTAGGATTCTTTTGTTGTTTTTAACCATTCAGGTACTAAATGTGTCAGAACAACTGGATGCCGGGATTAGATATTTGGATTTTAGGATTGCTCACAAGCCTAATGACTCTTCTGTGAATTTGTACTTTGTGCACATGGTATACACAACGGCTGTAGTAGAGGTACTGTTCTTAAATCTGGAGCATTCAGGAAGGAGTGCTGCTTAATTTTTTTTTTAAAAGAACCAACAACTACTTCTGAGTAAGGACTGCTTTGGGTGGGGAACACTGACCCCAAGATTTTCTGAACAGGTTATTCTTTCTTCAGTAACATGGGAACTTCAAAATAAGGAATTAGATATACTGCAGGGTTGATTGTCGGAACTGAAATTAATTTCTACAGTTGTCAACGAGGCTTAACCTCCATGCAGCCACCTGTGAGTTGGAATTCTCTTCCACTGTTCTCTGCAAACAAATGATTGCCATTTTCCAGGGTGTGTTTTGTGATGGTCCCAGTATCTCATCTTGAGCCAGCCCATCATTCTGTGATGTGGGCACAAAGTGACCGCTTTGAGGAATAAGTGACAGAAAAATAAGATGGGATTTAAAGTGTAATACAGGTACAATATTTTTCAAGGAAAATGTATTTAATGAAAAGATCATGACTCAGTCTTTTGGTCTTTAAATGTCACATGTTGATTGGGGTATTCCTGTACTGGCATGCATAGGGCCTGGCCATGCTGTTAGTTGCATATGACTTCCATGAGATGTAAGTGTCAGCAACTAATGGGATAATAAAGGCCTGTCAAGACCATGGGAGTCAGGAGACCTGGGTTCTATCCCTGATTTTACCACTGACTCACTCTTTGACCTTGAACTAGTCCAGAAAAATGGGGATTCTACTTTCCACCTTTGAGATCCTCGGATGAAAGACACTGAAGTTGCAAAGCCACTATATACCTTATATACATTGGTATATAAGGTGGAGAGCCACAGGTGGTGAAATCAGCATAGCTCCACTGAATTTAAATCCAAAGGATGGCTTTCCAGCCACTATGAAACTTCCTGCAGAATGTCCCATATTGTCATTCATGATAAAGCTATGCTGATTTGCACCAGCTGAGGGTCTGGCCTATCATAAATCATTAGTTTATGATTTATTTAATTCTTCCTTACCATCAGACAGGCTTTTCTAAGTTGATTTGAATTTACTTTTGTAGGATATTCTGTGGGAAATTTTAAAGTGGTTGCAGGCCCATCCTCAGGAGGTCGTTATCCTTGCCTGCAGGAATTTTGTTGGATTGACCAAGGAACTTCATCATCATCTTATCTCCTGCATAAAAAAGATTTTTCATTCTAAACTGTGTCCAAAAGATGTAAGTGCAGACGTAATTTCTTTTAGAATGATACAGTAGTTCTTTGATTTGCTATATGCTTTACGTTATCATTATGTTCTTTAAAGCTATGGAAACACGCACCTGTTCTATTATAAACAACATAAGTGGGAGTCAGTTATTAGAGAGTTATCACATAAGTGATGTCATAGCGTGGAGTGGCCCTCTAAGGGAACTGACTCAACTCCATCTGTGCTGTGTCATCCAATCCCAAGTAATGGGTTTGGACTTGGGCTTGTGATTGGGTCAGGTGACCAGGCATCACATGATGGTATCCCAGGAGCAGGGCTTCCTATAAGAATGAGCCTGCTCCCTCAGAGAGGGGAAGACCAGGGGAATACTCTAAAGAAGCCCAGAGTTGAAGGGCAAGCTGAGAGAGAGCTGTGGCTTGCAGCCTTGATACAAGGGTAACTGAAGAGAGAAACGGTGGGGAGGCTTCTGACCCATGGCCAGAGAGGACTGGGAAGGGCCTTTCCATATCATCCAGATGGAAAGACCTGACTGAAGCTACCTGGCGTGAGGGTAGAAGCCTTAAGCGGAAGAGGCTTTTGAGGATATGCTGGGCAGGGCTGGCTCCAGGCACCAGCAAAGCAAGCTGGTGCTTGGGGCGGCAGCTTGTAGGAGGCGGCATTCCACCCAATCCTAGGGCGGCATGGCCGCTTTTTCTTTTCTTTTTTTGTTTTGTTTTGTTGTTGTTCCGCTCTGGCCGCCCTGTAGGGGGCGGCGGCGCGGAGGACAGCAAGCCCGGCAGCAAGCCCGGCAGAGCAGTCCGCGTCCTTCCTTCCCAGCCGACCGGAGCAGCATGGAGCCCTCGCGGCAGGCGGCCCCGGCAGTGCCCCGCTGAAGCCCTGGCCGCCCCCCTTCTCTCTCCCCTCCCCCTCCCTGTCCCTCCCGCCGCTAGCCGGGGCACATCTGCAGCGCAGGGAGTCCCCCTGCACCCTGGCTCCGGCCGCGCCGCAGATTTTTTTTTTTTTCCTTTGCTGTTCTGGCCGCCCCGGTTTTTGTTTTTTTTTTTTGCTTGGGGCGGCCAAAAAGCCAGAGCCGGCTCTGATGCTGGGCAGCAGGACCTGGGTTTGGGGGGAAATACTGTTGAGTCCAGCAAGGCACTGAAGAAACTACAGAGTTGGGGAAAGACTTGTTTTGATTTAATTTGACATTTAAATGTGCTGTCTTAATAAATCAGAACCCAAGAAGGGGTGTTTATTTGACTTGCATGAGAGCTGGGGGGACAGTTACTGAAAAGCCCAAGAAGGGGAAACTGAGGCAAGAATTAGCGGTATCCGGATGCCTGTCTCCTGCCTAAACCCCAGGATGATCCACAATTCAGGGCTCCATCTGGTAAGCATGCTCAGACCAGGGGCACCATTTGAGGGCGGCAGAGGGGGGCGGGAGCACCCCCAAGTTTCGTACAGAAGGTGTGGGAGCTTCTAGGTGGAGCTCTTAACTACAGCACAGCATAGTGTGAAATGTAAGTTCTGTGGAGGAGAGGTGTCCCTGGGGCAGGGAGTCAGTATTTTGTTTACAAACAGAGGCAGGGTGATTAAGATAAGAAAGGGCTGGTGATTAAATTAAGTATCTGGAAGTCTAGCCTGTAAAACAGGAGTGTGTGTGTGTGTGTGTGTGTTTGTGTTGTTTTAGAGAGAACATAGGGGACTCAGAAAAAGTACAGCCAAGCCCTCTGAGCCAAGGGGGAGATTTGGGGGCATAGGTGAAAAGAAGGGGCCAAAACCAAGGGAAGGGCTAGCAGTGATATAGAGAGGTTCCCACTTTACCTGTGGTACTTATGTGGTCCCGTCACCGTTGTGTCTGAGTGCCTCACAAGGTCTAAACTATTTCTCCTCACAGCCCCTCCGTAAGGTAGAGCAGTGCTGTTATCCCCATTGTACAGATGGGGCCATGAGGCACACACAGACCAAAGGCCAGATTTTCAAAGGTATTTAGTCACCTAGTGGGATTTTCAAAAGTGCCTAGAAGTTTGGTGCTTTGTAAACCCCACTAGATGCCAAGCTGCATCTTTGGGTCCCTAAAAGGTTTTGAAATTCTGTCCGTACGGTACTGGCCTGAGGTCAGACAGGAAGTTCATGGTAGGCGGGGGAGTAGATCCCAGGTCCCTCAGGGCTAGTTCCCTATCCAGCAGACCAGCCTCTCGCTCTGCTGCATGCTGCAAAAAAAAGAGGACTCTGATAGATGGGAACAAAACCAAGGTGGCCAGTTCTCTGAGACTCCAGCAATCAGTCCCAGGAAGTTGGGATGGATGTCATAGTTGACAGCATGAAAAGCAGCATAGAGATCAGGAAGGATGGAGAATGAGAATCAGATGAATGGAGATCATTTAACTCCCAAGGGGTGTCAGGTTCTGTCACATGCTGGGCTGGAGAGCAATGGCTGCTATCAGGGCTGGTGTAACCACTAGGCCAACTAGGCGGCCGCCTAGGGCGCCAAGATTTGGGGGTGCCAAAAAGCGGTGTCTGACATCACGGGAGTCAGCTGAGCGGGGCAGAGCGGGGAGTGAGGCTTCCATAACAAACCTGCCCCCGCAGCGAGGGGTGCTGCGCAGGACGGTCAGTGGGAGCCTGCGGCGGAGCAAGGAGCAGACAGCCGGCCGGGCGCGGTGACTAGCGCGGCCGAGGGACGGAGCCGTTGGGGGAGGCAGGACGTGGTCCTGAGCTCAGGTGAGCTTTGCCCTCCAACGCGCCGTGCCTCCTGGGGCAAGGGAAAGTGAAACTAAACCCCGCAGCACGATGGAGGGGAAAGGGCTGGCGCAGGTGCCACTTCCAAACACCGACCCCCACGCCGCCCCGGTGGCACTGTGCCAATGCAGGGAGCCGGCCCTGATCTCCATGGAGATCCTCACCTGCTCCCTGGGAGAGCCTGGCTCTGCCCTCCTGGCCCCTGGGTTCCCCCCGGAGGGCGAAGTACTCAGAGCCTGGGAACGTTTAGAGACCCTGCGAGCTGGGGGCATTCTCAGCCTCCTCCTTGCTCATAGGTTCCCCTGGGCCAGAAGGGACCGTTGTGATTGTGACAGTGTACCCCATAAGGCTTTATGGGGAGGGGGTGCTTATAAATGTATGTATGACATAACTGGAATATGTTTTGTGCTGCCTGTGCCAGGTAACATATCTCCGTAAAGGTTATGGTCTACTATATCTATTCATCCTATTTGTACATATATATATCATTTTCTACTTGAGGTTAAGAATATGGGCTGTATGCTTGCTTGGTTTCTAAGTAAGCTTTGGGAGGCATTTGGTCAGCTTCTTTAGGAAGGAATTCGCCAGGTTAAGTACCTGATCAGGGAACAATGCATCTTGGAATGCTCCAATCCACATAAGAAGTCTTCCTGGAGACATGCAAGATTCCATGTGGGCAATGGCTTCAGCCTGTAAAGACTGAGTCATGCAGGGACATGTGACTTGCCCAGGTGACTCCAGAACTCCATCTTGGAGCTGGACTTTGCATAGGAGGGAGGAGGGGGGTCTCCTCCCACAAGAGAGAGTCTATTTAACCCTGGGGGAGACCCCTCCATTTTGTCTTCAGCTGGCTAAAGAAGGAGCCTCTCCACCCCCCCAGGATGCTTGAAGGAAACTGAAACAAAAGACAGTAACTACAGGGGTTGTGAGAGATTGCTGGACCCAGGCTAAAGGGAGATTAGCCTGTAAAAGGGAGCATTCTGGAACTGGTGAGGAACTTATCTGTATTTAGTTTGATCAGGCATAGATTTGCGCATTTTATTTTATTTTGCTTGTGACTTACTTTGTTCTGTCTGTTACTACTTTGAACCACTTAAATCCTACTGTCTGTATTTAATAAAATCACTTTTTATTTAGTAATTTACTCAGAGTATGTATTAATACCTGGGGGAGCAAACAACTGTGCATATCTCTCTATCAGTGTTATAGAGGGCGAACAATTTATGAGTTTGCCCTGCATAAGCTTTATGCAGGGTAAAACGGATTTATTTGGGTTTAGACCCCATTGGGAGTTGGGCATCTGAGTGCTAAAGACAAGCACACTCCTGTGAGCTGTTTTTGGGTAAACTTGCAGTTTTGGGACAAGTGATTCAGACCCTGAGTCTGTGTTGGAGCCAGACAGGAGTGGCTGGCTCAGCAAGACAGGGTGCTGGAGCCCTAAGCTGGCAGGGAAAACAGAAGCAGGGGTAGTCTTGGCACATCGGGTGGCAGCTCCCAAGGGGGTTTCTGTGATCCAACCCGTCACAGTGATCATCTCCTTTGACCCCCTTGTATTAATTCTAATGAACAATGCCACATTATGCAGTATTCATTTTTGAAAGTTTATAATAAGCGATGCTCCGGGGAGAGGAAGAGAAGAGGGGCGCAAGGTGGAAGTTTCGCCTAGGGCGCAAAATATCCTTGCACCGGCCCTGGCTGCTGTGCAATTTTACATTTTAACTGACAACCATTTTGTTGTCATTTTTTGTTCTGAGTTTGAGAAAAGGAAGGAATCAGAAAGTGTCATATAAGTATCAGATGTGTTTATGCCTCAAATTCTTAGGGTTTCAGCTGTATCCAGGCCAATACCAGAACAAAGAACAGAAATCGTATCTACAGAGTCCATAAAGTCGTCGATTATTGTCATTATATGTATTATTCACTGGGCACCATCTGTGTGCTCAGCACTATTCAGAAAATGTAGTCCCTGAGCCAAAGTGTATGAAATGTGTAGCCCTGGATAAGATGGTTCAGATATTTAAGTATGAAAGGTACAGTTATTAAGCACATGTTAATATCTGTGAGTGGAGGCGCTGATAGTGTTAGAAGTTTTACTTGATTAAGGACTAGAACAGCGGTTCTCAAACTGTGGGTTCAGGACCCCAAAGTGGGTCATGACTCTGTTTTAATGGGGTTGCCAGGGCTGGCTTAGACTTGCTGGGGCCCAAGCCCGAGGGCTTCAGGCCTGGGTGTCAGGGCTCAGGTTACAGGCCCCCTGCCTGGGGCTGAAGCCTTTGGGCTTTGTCCCCCTGGCCTGGGGAGGTGGGGCTTTGGCTTCCCCTCCGCCTCCCCCAGGGTGGCGGGACTTGGGCGGGCTCAGGCTTCTGTCCTCTATCCTGGGGTCCGGACCCTCCCTCTGCCCTGGGCGGCGTGCCGTGGAGGGGGCTGCTCCCAGGCCCACTGCCCAGGGCAGCTGGAGGGTCCGGGGCTCCTCTCAGAAGCCCAGGCTCCCTGGGTGGCTCTTACCATGGCCTGGCTCTGGCTTCTGGTCTGGCCAGGGAGCAAGGTCTTGAGGGGAAGAGGAGGAGCAGGTCGGGGGAGAGGGGCTCGGGGGAAGAGGAGGGACAGCAGTGGGGCCACTGAGGGGGTAGGGCTTCTGCATGTGTCCCACTTCTGCCTTTTAAAAAGGTGGTCACCCTAGCTCAGTGGTTCTCAACCTACTTATCATTGTGGGCCACATATGTGGCCCACAACGTGTTACCTGGGCTGCAGGTTGAGAACCACTGCGCACCCCTCCCTCCCCCCAAGACCCCTATGCCCAGTTCCTGCCCAGAGCCCCCTCCGCAGAGTGGGGCCAGGAGTGGACCCCACTGCAGGGCTGGGTGGCAGGGCAGCCCCAGATGCCGCCGTGCGGCAAGGCAGCAGAACCCTGGCAGCCCTGGACCCCACTGCCTGGGACAGGTCAGCCCCGGCGGCCCCGGACTCCGCCGCCTGGGACAGGTCAGCTCTGGACCCTGCAGTGCGAGGCAGGGTAGGGCAAGGCAGGGCAGTACAGCCTCAGCGGCTCCGGACCCTGCTGCGCCGGGTGGCTCCGGACCTCGCCGTGCAGGGCAGGGCAGTCCCAGTAGCTCCAGACCCCTGCGGCCTCTAGCACACAGCTGGGCCTCAGCTGTGTGCTAGTTGGGCTGCATGCGGCCCACGGGCTGCGCGTTGAGAACTGCTGCTCTAGCTATATCAGTACATACCAGTATTAACCAGCCTTCACAAAGCAAAATACAAGGAGTATTTGTGGCTACCACGCTACCACTCTGAAAGCAAAATACATTTATTCTTGAGCTAAAAGCACTACAGAGAGAACATACAGTTCCTGTATGCGTGCTAAAAGCTTATCAGAGATCACCATCCATCAGTCTTACAGGACCCTGGTAAGCCAAAGTGTTTCCCACCCTTGCACAAGGGTCGGGGCTCCCAGTGGACAGAGGGCTCTGTCCATTTGCTGAATAAAAATGAAGGCCCTGTGTGACCTGTGTCAGTTCAAGCTAAGCTTTTTATACCAAAAGCCCTTTCTTTATTTGAGTCTCCGGAAAACCCATTTTAAACCAGCACGTGCAAACACTCCTTGGGGTGGTGCTTCTCTAGAGTTGTTTACAATCCTCAGGGTAATCACCCCCTGCTGCTTTTAGTTCCTGGAGGAGCTGTGGTAACCCTCCCCCATGGAGTAAAATACAATCACACATAGATATTGCATGGGGTTGCAATATCTCTTACAATTCCATTGAAAGCAATGGGATTATTTGTATGAGTAACTATTTACCACCATGAGGAAGGAGCTCACAATCAGGGCCGCAGAAATTAAATGAGATTCTCTAGATATTAATTTAAAACCCTAATAGAATTTAACCTTTTTAATTTTTAAGACACTATTAGATTTCATAGCAGGCACAGAAAGCTCTTAAGGCTGTGTATACTCTGCCACTTTCAGCGCTAAAACTTGAGTCATTCAGGGATGTGAAAAAACACCCCCCTGAGCGACAAAAGTTTTAGCGCTGAAAAACGCCAGTATAGACAGCGCTTTATCGCCGGGAGCCGTGCTCCTGGTGATAAAACTACCACCCCTCGTTCGGGGTGGTTATTTTTTATCACCGGGAGAGCTGGCAATAAAACGTGACTACACTGCCCACGTCACAGTGCTGCTGCGGCCGCGCTGTAACATGGGCAGTGTAGACATACCCTTACATTCGATAGGATGGCTTAGAAACACTATAAAGAGTGTATCATTCTCTGTTACTTTCTGTAGGTTAGATAAATTTCTGGAGGACTCTTTTTTGGTTTCCTCCTATTTCAGTTCACTAGAATTTTTTGCAAAATGGAAAATAGACTGCATCTATACTAGCAAACGTTATACCTGTAATTCTCCACCATTGCTACCACTAGCAGAGCTGCATTTTGCTATGGCTAAAAGTTTGCTAATGTGGACAAGGCCATATAGTATATAAATACAGATTTTAAAATATACACTTCTCCTTTTCCTCTCCCCTCCCTTCATGCCTAAAATGGCCCCATGTAAAATCTCTTGTTCTGCAGTCCAGTGAAGTGTACATAAGATGTTTGGTAATTAGGTGAACTTTGTAATTGCACCTGTGAATTATATTGGCACCTGATAGATTGATTCACACCTGGTTCCACTGATGGCATTCAAAACAATTCACTCCCCTAGCGAGCCTAGTCAGAGTGATGCTGTTAAATGCACTCTAAGGTAGTACTGGAAATGTCTGTGGAGATGGTTTTTTTAGTGTACTTTTAGTGCTAGTGCTCTCCTGACAACTCTGGCCCTAAAGTTCTCTGATAGAATTGATACATAATGGCAGCAGCACCAGTACAGGCTTCTTCACACTGCTCCACCAATGTATGTCAGCTGTGTTCCAGAGGGACAGTAGTTAGGGAATGAGACAGTAGTCTGGTCTGTCTTTTTGATCCTGGACCTCTCTGCTACAACTGCCAACAAGGCACTAATTAGTGCTAGTGCTTTTTGTGATGTGGGCTTCTCCACTAGGGACTGGACTGGGACCATCTACTGACTTCACACAACAGCCAGCAGGTGGTAATGACTTTCTTTATTGAACTTAGGCTGGATTCGACCTGCCAACCTAGAGGTGAGAGAGGCTTGCCCTCCTACTACCATTGCTTTGAACCCACCAGCCCTCCAGAAAGGGCTTGATTTAATAATCAGAGATTATTTAATGATTAAATTCTAAGAGTTACAATTTTCAAGGTTTTTTTAAACCAGCTACAAGGTACAAGAGCTTTGAGCAGTTAAACAATTAACATTTCAAAGAGGCATATGAACAGTCAGATTGCTCTGGAGACTGGAGGGCTACAGGCTAATGATGACCCTGTTTACTATTTGAATTAAGTCTTTGAAGTTACCCTATGTAGTGGTAACCATCCAAGATGACCATTTCAAAGAGGTTTGTGCAGCAGAGTTAAAATAGAACAATTCTGGGGGAAATTATCGGATCCTGAATATTCAAGGCCTCAACTGAAGACGTGAGTGACACTGGTTTATTGTTTCCTCACAGCACTCTTTGACATAAAGTCTGGATTAACATAACGAATATTAGAGAAGGTAATGGAATAGATTACTTGTATTCAGAATGGTCAGCCAGAGTGGGATGAATTAAACTGCCCTCACCACAAAAGGAATTTTTGAAACAAAATAATAAAGGGACTAAGATCATGAAGGGGCTATCATACCGTGCTGTAGCTTTCAGTGCCGGATTCTTGCTTCTACCACTTATGCTGCTGAACCTGACATGTTGCCAGCCCTTAGTTCTGGTAAAATGGTATAAAACTCCTTTTAGTTCTACTGGAGAGGAAGATTTCAAAAATCTGGACTGTGGTGCCAGGATTGGGATGAGTGACCAAGGTAATTATAGCAGGTGCGGCATTTGTTCTCCACCTGCTTTAAAATTACACATTTCTTTAGTCCCCCTCTTCCCCCTCAAATGGATTCTCTCCCCCTTCCCATGTCAATGACGGGGCAGCGGGGAGGTATTCCCTTTCTTTGTGGAGAGCTGGGGAGAGAAGTATGGAGATAGGAAGGTGTTTTCCTTGCTCTGCCCACCTGTCCCACCACACTGAAGTTGCTTCAGGGAAGAGCAGGAATGGATTAAGTTGCAAACACTGGCAAATCAGGGCGAAGGTAGAAGAATGACACTCTCTAAGCATTCAAGGTTCTTAGCATAGCAATCTGAGATGCATGCGCAGTAGAGCCATGAAACAGACACAGGCTAAATAGCCTTTGGGAATAAGAAATTAGGTAAACGTTACTTAAAGAACATGGATGGATCACATCTAGTCTATCAGAGAGAGGGGCCAATACATTGAAACGGTCTCTAAGTAAATGTGACTTTTAGGTTTCAAATTACATCCCTTATCGCCTGAAGCATCCCGCAAATCATCTTGTTCTTAAGGATAGGTGAACTGGTTCTGATTCATAGGCACTGGAGATCGGGATGATGGGGACTGTGAGAGAGGGGAAGAAGAGGGTCAGGCTGGTGACTAAGGTTCTCCCTTGCCAGGTCCAGGAGAGGCAGTCTGGTGAGGGGGTGCTTCCTTGAGGGCTCTGGGAGGGAGATGTTTTCGTTGCTTGCCAACCCTACCCCCCACTCTTGCAGTACTACTAGCACCCTTGTCTAGAGCTGGTGTGTGTTTGTGGAAGGCATTAGGGGAACTGTGGTTGGTTTCCTGTTAGAGAGGAGGAAGGAGAACTTGTAATGTGTGCCCGAAATAGAACTGCCAAAGAGATGGAGACTTCCTGATTCCCCAAGGATCTCAAGTTATTATTACCATCACAGAGCTCTCTCAGCCCGAAGCAGCTTCTAATTCACCTGGTGCCAGCCCTTTTTGTTGGCAGGTTTAGCAGCATTGTCTGAATTGAGCCTGCATCTATTTCATTTTAGAGCAAGTTCATGTCTTAGCATTTGATTTTTTTTAGCGTTGCCCAGGAGCTAGTCATTCAGCTCCTGTCAATTTTAACAGTAGAACTGTCATTCCTTTCAGGTGGTTCCAACGCTACGGAACATGTGGACATATGGGTACCAGGTTATCATCTCCTATGAGGATGTGACTGAAGTAATGAAGCACCGTGAACTATGGCCTGCAATTCCATATTGGTGGGGAAACAAGACTGCAACCCAAGATCTTATCCAGTATCTGGAAAGTATGAAAAAGAATGGGCGCCCAGGTACCTACCACATCTCACTTACAGGCAGGGCCGGATTAACTTTTTGTGGGCCCGGCGCCAAACATATTTGTGTGCCCCCATGGGGCAAAATGCAGGGGGGCAGGATGGTCAGTCTCCAGAGTGAAGGTGGGCTGGGGGCAATGAGGCACAGCGCGGCGGGAGCAGCCCCGCTCTGCGCAGCCCAGCAGGAGGGCACTGTTTACGAACCTGCAGCTGCCAGACGCACACTGGCCTGCCCAGCCCTGTGCTGCCAGCATGCCCCTTCCCCTTGAGGGCAGGCCCGCACCACACCGCCCCCCTGCCCAGTGTCCCACCCTTATGCCCAGCGCCCACTCGCCCAGAGACCTCCACCACAGATCTCTATGCCCAGCTCCGCCTCCCAGAGACCTCCCCCGCTGGCCTCCCACCACAACTGTACAGCACCCTGCACACAACACCGCTTGCCCAGCGCCCCCCCGCCCATAGACCTGCCCACCACCTTCCTCAGAATCCCACCATCATAGCTGCACAGCACCCCATATTCCTGAGGGAATTGTGCACCAAAAAATTAAAAATTCTGTGCACAATATTTTAAAATTCTGGAAATTTTGTTTGTCAATAAATAAAAGTGGAGGCTCCAACATGGCAGTGGGGAGCACAGGCCACTGGTTGCATGGAGGTGGGAGATTACCCTGCAGCCTCCCCCCACCCCACCCCGGGACAGGGACTCAGCAGTGAGGCTGCACTCGACCCTGACATAGTGCAAGGGCCAGGTCTGCCCCAGAAACACCCTGGGGCCCTGCCCCCCTGTGCCAGACGCACCAGGTGTGGGTGAGCAGGCTCAGCCCGGCAGCAGGATCCATGTACAGAGGGATTTAGCGTGGGGGGATCCAGGTGGGGGTATGAGAGTGCTCTGTGGGGCAATCTGGGTGCGGGTGGCTCAGTGGGAGATCTGGATGCACAGAAGCTCATTGGGGGGTTCCAGGTGCAGGGGCAACGGGACTCTGCAGGGGATCCAGGTGCAGGTGTTTGGGGCTCAGCAGGGGGCGGTCTAGGTGCAGGGGAGGTGGGGTTCATTTGGGTGGGGGTCCAGGTGCAGGTGGTTGGGGCTCAGTGGGGAGGGTGTCTGGGGGGGCTCATTGAGGTGGTACAGATGCAGGGGAGGTGGGGCTTGTCAGGGTGAGGGTTCGATGGGCCTGCTTAACAGGGGAGCCCCAGCTTCTGCCAAGGGGACGCCGCATGCTGGGCTCCAGCTTCCCCCCTGCCCCCATTCCCTTCTCTTCCCCATCCCATGCCCCTTCCCCACCGCTCCATCTCCTCCCCACTGCTCCATCTTGTCCCCACCCCACCCCTTCCTTCCCCCCCTGCTTCCCCCATCCCTTTCTCTTCCCCATCCCATGTCCCTTCTCCACTGCCCCATCTCCTCCCCACCCCCTTCGTCCCCACTGCCTCTTTCCCCCAGCCCCCGCTTCCCCTGTCCCCTTCTCTTCCCCATTCCATGCCCCTTCCCCACCGCTCCATCTCCTCCCCAGGCTTGGGGGGAATGGGGGAACTGCCCCCCAGCACGAGCTGGAGGAGCGGAACGGGTTGGGGCCGGGTCGCTCCACTTTCTGCCGCCCGGTGATTGCAGGGCAGGCCCGACCCTGCACTCATGGGGCAGTGGGAAGTGGAGTGACCAGCCCCAGCCCATTCCACTCTGATCCTCTGGCTCCTGGACTTTGGGGAAGGAGGAAACTGCTCCCCAGCACTCACCGGCGGCGTGGTTGGGAGCTGGCGGAGCGGAGCGGGCTGGGGCCGGGTCGCTCCACTTCCCGTCGCCGCGTGAGTGCAGGGCAGGCCTGACCCCTGCAGCAGTCCCCCAGGACGCGTAGCTCAGGGGAGGGGTGGAGTGGGGGCAGAACAGGTGTGGGAAGAGGCGGGGTGGGGGTGGAGCAGGAGCGGGGGCAGCTTTCCTGGCTGGCTCAGCCGTCCGGGGGATCAGGCTGGCCGGGGCCGCTTCTGACTCTGGGCCTGGCACCATGGTAAACCCAGTACTGCTTACAGGAACTAAGAACACACCCAGGAACAAGAAATGAGTAGAAACTCCAAGCTACTTATTGCCAACATATGCATTTGGGCCTGATCCACAAAGATAATTAAGTGCCTAAGTCCCAGTTTTAGGCTTCATGGTGATCCACAAAACTCCTGCTGAACCTTGTAGGCACCTTAACTTCAGCCTCTGGTCATGTGCCCTGCTGCCTCTCTCTAGGCATCTGGATGCTTATCTTGCATATGAGGCCTGATCTGGCAAGCGTGCTCTGAGGCTGCCTACTGGATCAGGTCCCACTTAAAATCTGGCTAGTGGTGGTGGTGTGCATCTTATAACTTTTAACCCAGTGGTCAGAACACTCAGCTGGGATGTGGGAGACCCAGGTTTAATTTCCCCATCTCTGCCAGAGGGGGAGAAAGGAGACCCCTGTTAGAATCCTATGTCTCAGCAGGGAGCTCTAACCACTGGGCTATGGGATAGTCTGAAGAAGGGTGCCCTTAATCTCTCCTGTTGAAGCTGTTCCACTGTGGGTAAAGTGAGAGTGATGGGAGCAGGGGATTGAACCCTGGGTCTCCCACCTCCCAGGTGGGTGCCCTAACCACCAGTCTCTCTCTCTGGCCCAATGACTGTTCTAAACAGGGGATGGGAGGTGGGGTTCTGAACAGTCATTGGGCCAGATCAGAGAGAGTGAAAATGACTCTAGTTGGGTGCTTAGGATACCCACCTGGGAGACCCAGGCTCAAGCTCCCCTGCTCTAATCACACTTTCGTTCTTTATTCACAGTGGAACAGCTTCACCAAGAGAGACTGAGGGAGCCCCACATCAGAATATCCCATAGCTCAGTGATTAGAGCCCTCTCCTGAGGTTTGGGATGCCCTTGTTCAAATTCTTTTGCCCCTGTAGGTAGAAGAGGAATTTAACCTGGGTCGCCCACATCTCAGGTGAGTACCCTAACCACTAGGCTAGAAGTTAGAAGGTGCCCCTTCTTCAGTGTGGAGAGAGGGACATGCCTAACTCAGTCTCATCAGAAACAATGTAGACACCTAGCCCCCCTGGCTCCACAAGAGGGATTCCCATCCATGGATGGCTAGCAGAGATAGGCTGAAATCCAGGCTGCAGGGAGGGACCAATCTCTGTCAGAGCGAGGGGGCTTAGGACACACCCCTTTCATCAGCATCTCCGCTTAGGTGGCTCCCTGCGCAGCGTGCTGGCTTTTTGGATCACATTGTAAGGTGCCTATTTCTCCCAATGCATTGTATTGGGACCCCAGGTGCATAACTCAGGCTTTGTGGATCCCATTGATATTTTCTAGGTGCCTAAAAGATGTTGCTGGGCCCAGAATCATAGTGCCTAAGTCCCTTTATAAATCTGGGCCTTAATGTCCTACTTGTTACACTGTATGCAGTAGCTGTTACCTTGCTTTAAATGTCCATGATACTGAATGGGTGTGACCCTACGTGGCTGGTTAGATCAGTGTGAAGTTCATCTTCCCTCATGATGTCTCCAAAAATGGATCAGCTCTCTGCTTCTCTTTTACGTATCAGCTATTTGCTTAAAGTTGTGACATGAACCTGAATTCTGGGAAGGAAACTAAGGCAGGGAAAAAACAGAAACATGGGTGACTGATATTAAAAGACAGGAGGGGTTTTCACTGATTTTTGAAACCCATTATAAAGTAAACTATCTTTTCTCAGACACAGCTCACATCTAAAACTAGCCCTCAGAAGTTGATTTCACTTTGTAATTGTCCATGGCTACCCACATGTAAACATGATGGTCATCAGCTAACCACATCCCTGTGACATTGAAACTCCTGATCACTTCTCGCTGCAAACCCACAAGCCTGCACCAGCACCAGCACCACTAACTCAGACAGTAAAGTGAAACCTGTAAGCACTTCAGCAGGTCTAACATTTTTCAAATAGCAGGCGGTGACGCACACATGTGTGTGCAAGCCAGTGCATTACCACTAACAAAAAGAAAGAGGCCTTTCATGTTAGTAAGTGTAGCAGTGAGTAAATTAAGTGAATATATATCGAAGCTTAAACATTCTTTCTTTGATATTAGTGAGAGTAGTAGCATAAATGAGTGATTAACATACAATGATGGAAGAATTGTGAAAGTGAAAGCTTTACAGCTTGACTTTATGCTTTGGTGTCACAGGAGTGCTTCCGCCTCAAGAGATGTGTTTTATCTATCCAATTGATCTCTACAAATTAAGATGTATCTAAAGCATTGTGAGGGGGGTAAAAGGGAGAGAGAGAGCTATTGTATACCTGCCCCTTTTTCCCTCTCCCTACTGCCTTCCACATTCTTTTTCTCACTTTTTGCATTTCATGTAATTAATGGGGTTTAAAAGCCTCAACCCACCTTCTGCATCAATCTGCTTCTCCTCCCTGTTAGTGATGTACTACTTTCATGGAAATTGCCTCCAAATGGATACCTTTCCTTTAGAGTTGGGCATTATGCCATATATTATGGGGACAATTAACCATTAAAGAATAGTTAACCCTTGTTGTTATGCCTCAATTTGTACACCCTCAGTACTGATACAGCTGTAAAAGGAGGTATGTCAGCCCTTCATTTTCTTCCTCGAATAGAGATGCAGGGATGGTGAGTGATGACTGGGGGGAACAATGGGCCATATTAGACAACTGATATTTACGGGGGACTCCTCAATGAAGCCATTGCTTGTTAGCCTGTAGAAGTTGAGGCAACGCTTATGAGGAAACTTATGACTGGATCTTGCCACAGATATTGTGCAATACTGTTCATAAAAAGAAATTGCCAAATCAAGGCACAATATGGCCCTATATCTATATAGGGAACTCCAGTTACTGTTAAATGACCTACGGTATGTGTCTACCCGCTGGATCGGCAGGCAGCGATCGATCCAGCAGGGGTCAATTTATCGCATCTAGTCTAGACGTGATAAATCGACCCCCGAGCGCTCTCCCATCGACTCCTGTATTCCAGCTTGGCAAGAGGCGCAGACAGAGTCGACGGGAGTGGCAGCAGTCGACTCACCGTGGTGAAAACACCACGGTAAGTTGATCTAAGTACGTCGACTTCAGCAACGTTAGTCACGTAGCTGAAGTTGCATAACTTAGATCGATTTCCTCCCCCCCCCCAGTGTATACCAGGCTTTCACCTTTATGAAAATTTTCCTCGACTGATGGAGATAAGCAAGCAGGGAATATTTTCTTACAGGATGAGTAAATTAAGTGACTATATATTGAAGCATGTGGGCCTGAGTTAGGTTCACTGGTTTTAATTGCTCCATATCTGCATAGCATAGCTTACAACTCTAAGAGAAAGTGAGCTGTTGAGACAACTCCAGTTACTGGAAAGGTACCTAATTTTCTGGAGGAAGCTCCTCTGCTAATTATTCAAGAAAAAACACTAGATCAGGGGTCGGCAACGTTCGGCACGCGGCTCGCCAGGGTAAGCACCCTAGTGGGCCGGGCCAGTTTATTTACCTGCTGACGCAGCAGGTTCGGCCGATCGCGGCCCCCACTGGCCGCGGTTTGCCGTCCCGGGCCAATGGGGGCAGCGAGAAGCCGCGGCCAGCACATCCCTCACCCGCGCCGCTTCCTGCTGCCCCCATTGGCCCGGGACGGCGAACCGCAGCCAGTGGGGGCCACGATCGGCCGAACCTGCCACGTCAGCAGGTAAATAAACTGGCCCGGCCCGCTAGGGTGCTTACCCTGGCGAGCCGCGTGCCAAACGTTGCCGACCCCTGCACTAGATGTAGGGCTGAGTCAATGCTCAGTAATGACAGATACCAATTTAATGTTTCTTTTTTTTTCAGACTGTTTCTTTGTTGCAGGGATTAACCTTACTGAAGACTTAGAGTACATTCTGGCACATCCATTTGGATCCTTGAAGAAAATGGCCCTTCCTAGCCTTCCATACTTGAAACTCTGGATAAAGCAACAGTATCCAGGACCAAAGAGGGAATGTATCAACATCATTGCTGGAGACTTCATAGGAAATCATGATTTTGTGAATGACGTGATAGAACTTAACAAAAAAATCATCCCTCCATTACATTACCATGGTAATGAGACTGAATTAAAGGATGTTTCAAGACTTTCAGCTTCATAACCTTGGTATGATTGAGTAGCTTTTGATCAGCTCTCACAGGGAAGGCAATTTTCCTGGTTCAGATACATCATATGTGTATATAAATGATGTTTCTTCCTCCCAGGTATGTTGTGAAGATTCATTAGTTGATACTTTTGTATCAAAATCAGACTTTAAAATACACAATGCTTATGGCAAGCAAAACTTCCTATAACTAGGGGAGGAAGAAGAGCAAGAAGGCTTCTCCTTAAGTTCTCTAGAGCCCTTGCCACATAGGTGTAATTTAGCTGGGAAGAGCATAAATATTGCAGTAACTGTTGTTAGAGAATATCCTAAGAACCTTACTCATCTTTCGCAAAACAGAGAAAATAAATTTGTTTACTGTTGATTTTTTTTCTTTAAATATATTCTTAATGCAAATAGTTTCGTTATTTCAATAAAAAATGTTAGTTATGGATTTAAATATGTTTGTGTGTGTGTGTGTGTGTTTGCAACCTAAACATCTCGGTATGTGCACCAGTGAAACTGATTACACCTCTACCTCCATATAATGCGACCTGATATAACACGAATTTGGATATAACGCAGTAAAGCAGTGCTCCGGGCGGGCGGGGCTGCGCACTCCAGTGGATCAAAGCAAGTTCAATATAATGCGGCTTCACCTATAACGCGGTAAGATTTTTTGGCTCCCGAGGACAGCGTTATATCTAGGCAGAGGTGTAGTTTGTTTTCATGGGCCAAGGTGAGTGAAATGTTAAAAGTACACAACATAATTAGCAAACAGAAAATTAGATTTTTAGAATACATTGTTTTGATAATCTAAAGCATTATTACTATGCCTGTAAGTAAATTTATCAAAACTGACAGTGTTCTTAAAGAATCTTGGCATTA